ATGTCAGGTTTCCTTTAACTTTTACATAAAAATAAAACATCTGCTCTTGAAAAACCACTCTGCTTGGTGTTTTTCTTTTATCTTTTTTTTGCTGTCAACTCTATCTTATCTAGAAGGCATTAAGTCATGTGAAACACTTTGATGATTAATTGTCAAGTCCTGTAAAAGAAAAGCAACTCTGCAACAATTTTGATCATCAGTTTACAGTTGCAGTTTTTTACCCAAGCAAAAATGGAAAATATTCACTGGTTTCAGTCCTCAAGTGGGCAGCTGTACGGCTTTTATCTGTTTTATGTAATTAATTCCCAAATGTGAAGCCAAAACATCTCGACTGCCCCCTGGTGGCTGGCTGCAGTATAAGTTATTCAATGCTATAAAAAGGGGAATGATGTCTCAATAAATAGCTTTATGTGCCAATCAGTATGCTCACAATCAATGACGCTGCTCACAATTGGCCGGACGTGTGTGTGGGTGGGAACTCAATACCGCCGAGATCGCTCCTGCGCCAAATCTGACTCCAAATGACATCTGTGCAAGATGGCAGCGGCTGTATCCAGGATATTTTGGCTTGATTTTGGTACAGTGGGAGGAAATGGAGGCACGTTGTCCATCTTTATATACAGTCATTGGACAAAACAAGCCATATCAAGACATCTCCTCAGGCTAACATTTGGTTTGCCATTAATCTGCAGTTAAACTGCTTGATCTGTTAAAACCCCAAAGATATTTGCTTTGCTGCCACAGAAGACAAAGACAAAGTTTGGAATTTTTGTTGGGGAAAAAAAAAAAAAAAAAAAAAAAAAACCTACAATTGAAACTAACATATATTTTAATTTTTGTTTACTTATTTTGTCTATAAAATATCTAAATACTGTCCATTACAATTTCTCAAGGTTCATGGTAATCTTCAGATGTCTTTGTTTTGTTCAACCAACCGTCCAAAACCCAAAGATTTTTCTTACATTGTGTATGACAATGCAGAGCAGTGTCAACATTTGAGAAGCTGGAACCAGAGAATATGACTAAAATGATCATTGGATCATCCAAATAGTTGCCAATTTATTGTCTGTTGTTCGACTCATCAATTAATCGTTGTAAATCTATAACTGACAACCAAGTGATTTTTACTCTGGCATATCATTTGCTCACATATTTCTCAAACATGTTTATGCACTTAGTTTAACTAGTTCTTCCAAGTGACCCTTCAAGTTCAAACTGACTGAACTGACTGTTCTTTGCTTTATTGGATCTTGGCATGCCAATCAGCTACCCTGCAAGATCATGAATGAACAAGAAAAAAATCCCCCTCTGATTCAAATCACCGTGGTTCTTTGACTCCACCAATTTAAGCTTGACAATTGAGCTTGTTTCTGCCTCCACGACGGCTCAGTCTGTATGACTAAACCTCCAATCTGTGCAGTGTGTCTGGGTTGTGGATGTTGAGACCTTGAAGCCATAACTTTGCTGTAACGGAGAGGAGAGCAAAGCGCCAGTAAAAACAGAGTAAGCAGATAATGAGTCAGCTTTCTAGTTTGATACGAGCCACAGCGGCCAGCTAAAGCGTTACAAAAGAAAAAAAAAACAGCTTCCAAAGGCTTTTTCAAAACACGGAAAATGAAAATGTTTCTAGTAGTAGTAGTTGAACAGTATTATACATTATTGTAAATGTGTATAAACTCCAGCGGTAGGTAGGTGGGTGGGTGGGTTTGTAGGGCTGCCGTAGGACAATAAAGCAAGGACTGGACAACTGTATCACAAAAAGGAAGCACTAAACAGTCATTGGGTCAGTCTGCATTTCCAACTGATTAAAAAGTGACAGTCTTTTGTCATTTTTACCTATTTTATGGACAGGCCATTAATAAATTCAACTTTGGTCAAGATTTCAGCTCTAGACACATTTAAAATCCAAAGTTAATCATCTGCAACAAGTTGTGCTGTCAGGTATCCCATTCACCTTTATCACATCAAATGAAATTCATCATCACTAAAGAATGTAAAGCCAATCCTGGCTTTACTGACCTACAGACAGCCTTAAAACCACTTTCTTATTGGTTGAAGGAGGAACGACAGAGAAAGAGAGACATCCTATGAACAGCATCTCGATGCCCTTCTGGTTCCCAAAAACCACCTCAGGGCAACAATCAGTTTTTGTCTCAAAATTACTGAAATTTCCCATCCAGTAGGTGCAACAGCTTGTTTTAATGTGTCTGTCTCAATCAAATAGATGATTTTGTTGCAAAAATTGTTTTGTACAGGAACATTTACCAGCATTTTGTTGCTGAATGGTCCTAACTTGCCACCCAACTAATAAAAAAAGCTTTAAACATGATCTTTGCTTAGCTGAGGAAGTTCTGAGGAACCCAACCCTGCTGGTGCAGTGATGTCTTTCCAAGGAGTTTTACAACAGCGTCGGTACAGTAGACAGCAGCTGTTTGAATTACAGGCGAGGTTCCAATTGCCTGCAGCAATCAGCGCTGGCCTTTAACCAGCTTTTCAGCAGAAGGCTAGGTGGAGTGCATCACTGTGTGTAGGTGTGTTCCTGACCTGCCATTACGTGAACGATACCCACCAGCTTTATTTCCGTGGTGTAGCATTCATGCCAACTCCTGGAGGGGAGAGGGGGTTTGCCCTCACACATGCACCAGCTCACCATTTAGAAAACTATAGTTGTATATTTATCCATTATGCAGACTGTCTTAACCATGCCCTCTAAATGGTGAGCTTGCACAGACGAACATAACCTCCAATATTCTAGCAGATCTTGAGCTGATACTGACACTGATGCCTCACTCTGAGGCTGAAAATTTCATCACTGATATTAGAGGTTAAACCCAGAAAAGGAAAGAAAAGTCTAATCTGGATATCCGACCTGACAGAGTTGCAAAATTCAAAGATCATCAGTGCACATTTCGGGCTGCGAGCCAACACCCACACCAGCGTACCACACAGAGGACAGTGATGCTTTGAAGTTGTATTCTAGTGGATATTGATAAAAAGAACCTGTAAAAGACTCCAGTCTACAGTATCTACTAAGCGGAAGGAGATGGCATTGAAGCCACACTGTAAATATAGAATAATAACCAGTTTGTGTTTGCCAAGGCTGCACAGCATCTGGGAAAAAAAAGAAAAATCAAAAATGCAATTTGCCTGACAAGGTACTCCGGTGGAAAGTTCTTGCGGTCAAATCTGACTTACAAACAGGAGGAAATCTTTAGAAACAGCAATAAGTCACCTAACCACCTCCACAACTTCTGTAGAGGAAAATCAGCCAAACAAAAGGGTGATTTTTTTTTCTTCTACCTAACAACGCTGTGCAGCCTTCGCATTTGCTACTACATGTTAAGGCCGTACATGTGAGGCCTTGTCTAATACCACTGTCTACAAAGTCAGGCTACTCTGAACACTGAATATTGAAACCAAGATTACATGTTTCTGTCTTAGCAACCCATGAATGGTAACAACCACCCCCGTTGGAGGAATCTGTGGGCCGTAATGACGATACGTCACCACATCCTCGCTTCAAAACACAAGCTTTGTTGCAGTTATTGTTGTTGTATGTGTTGTTGCGGTCGGTTCCATGGGGGTTGTAATAACGGTAGCCAACGTAGAAGTCCATAATCCTCCACCTGTCATATATGAAAGTTGTAGACATATTTCAACACAAAACCATTTGAAAAGAAGGTTTTTCCAGCTCTTTTCATGGCGTAAAAAAGACAAGTGTGGAGGACCAACAGTGTGAATCTTCTACGATGGCTACATCCAAAGGACAAAAGGAGACAGAGACGCTGCACTGTCACCAGTAAATACTTTCCTGCTGATAGGGGGCGTTTCACTCTGAGTAAGCTCATACTTCCTGATGCATTCAGGACCACATATACATAAAAAACTAGTCATCTTGTACATTATAACCCTGTTATACCAGCTCTGGTGTGTGTGTGTGTGTGTATGTGTATGCGAGTTGTGTGTTCAGTTCAGCAGCATTTGGCTTTTTCTGAAGGGGGTTATATGTGTGAGTCTGCGTTTAACAACCGTCGCCAGCCCATTACTGTGACGACAGGCTTTTCCTATGTGAACCCCCGTGGGTGCAGATGTGGGAGAATCCAGGTTGGGTTTATTGGTGGTGGTGTAGTAGAATTAAGAGTGCCCCCACTTGCGTTAGAGGAGGTCACACAACACCACGGCACCGTGCCTGAGCTTACGGTGTTTCTGACGGAACCCCACTGAGCTGGATCGAACCAGGTTGAGATCAAACTGAGCTGACCTGGACAGCAAGAGTTGTTTGACATCCTTATCTAACATTCTTCATCTTGAAAACCAGAGACGTAGCATGTGTATGTGTGTTTGTGTAGATAAGATGTAAATATGCTGCCTTGATACACAGATCTGTTCTTTGGCGTGGTCACTTCAGAAGACAGGTTAGAAGCTGTCCATACAGAAAGAAAAAAAAAACAGAGGAAGTTGATTGGACTTGCACCTCTGTTCATCAGGCCTGGGTTAAGCAGCCCTTAAAATCACTTGTGATGCTTTATTTCACCCATTAGAACCAGATGGGTGGGTCTTAACTGCAAGAGATGGGAGAATGAAAACAACGCCCCTTCTTGCAGTTGACCATGGAGCTAATATTATCTGACCTATCCCACTCATCTGGTGACTCAAACAAAATGAGCATTAATTATTGGTCGAGACTATTGAACCCAGGACTGATGGTCATATGGTCATACTGAGAGAAGGAGCATGCTCAGTAGTAGTCGTGTAGGAGTTCAAACAGTGAAGCTTGTCAAATAAGGAAGTTTCTAGACATACACACATCACTTTATATATATATTGTATACGATATAAAATATGTATATATATATATATATGTATCTCTGTCTTACGTCGCTTTTTCGATACATTTTTAAACCTTTTATTCTTTTTTTTTAAAGTTTTTTTAACCCCTGAGAATACCATGGACTGCTTTAAGTATAAAATACAACTCTCTGAGAGAACAACAAAAAAAGTATTTTTGTTTAAAACAAATTTACAAACAACTCAATTCCAGAACTGAAGAGCGCAGGCCTCTGAAGCTGATTATTACATTGTCATCATTCATCTAACAGGAGAACAGGTGCAGCAGAGCCATCACTTACGAGAGTGTGGCCACGTCAAACTTAGGTGGCAACCGTGTTGGCGCCCCGCTCAGTGCTTAGCTGAATAAAACATATGACTAAACCATTATTATAAACTGCATAGATACACATGGATGAGATAAATTGTGACTCTCTTCATGCCTGTACACTGCACTGTGAGCACTGGGGGTGTCACTTACTGTCGTAACAAGAAATAACTGTAACTTTTGAGGGCTTTGCTTCTTAAAAACAATCTAATAATGTGGACGAAGAACAACTATGTAATTATATTTTCTAGGATGCTCATAAAACTTGTTTTTCTACATGACGACACCTGAACCAGCCAAGATGAGTTGTGGAGAAAAGTTCTGATAAAGCCAGTAATTAGACCTTTTGAGTTGAGATTATTCTGTCACATACTTTCTCCAGTTTTGCCTGATCAATTCAATCAGTTTTGCTCAAAATTTAGACAGATTTTTACACAATAAACTCGACTAATGAAGCATTACTGATTCATACCACTGAGCTGACCACTGTGAGAGAAAGCTGGCTACACAAAAAAAAAACAAAACAAAAACTGACAAGCAGTTGTGGCCAAAATGGACGTATAAAGAGAACTGAAAACTAAGTGGCTAACTTCCGGTTAAGCCCTCTGCTAGCTTGAATGGGGATAAAATGATTTAATCATGTGGCTCTTATAAACTTTAGAGATGTTTTGGGACTAAAAGGATCAAATTTCAATAGTAAAATGAGTCATTTCGTAGGGGTTGTCATGCTCAAAAAATGAGTCCACTGATTTACAGATGTAAGTCTTTTTGGGCCACATGACATCACCTGAAGGACCCAGAAGTTGTAATTCCATGGTTTGGCTACTCTGTCAAATTGGCTTCAAATCCTGGCCCTGCTGCTGGGGGCTTCACAGCCACCAATCTACAAGACTTGTTTTGAATGGGAGCCGCTGGCAGGCTGTGTTTGTCCTTCCTCCATATGTATCTACTGTTGCAGTCAGCTCTCTCAAGAAGAGGCAGCAACATGGCGCCCACGGTGTAACCTGGCCAAACCCTGTTCATCGATGGCTCTGGACTGCAGTGATCTAGTAAGGAAGGAGTGGGGGGCACAGAACAGTAGGCAGCTCTTTGCACTGATAGTACGCTGTGGCTCTGCTTTGCTAACCGTTGCAGATGCTTTGTTGATTAATGGCAAACGCTGCATTTACATCCTTGTTTCAGGCACTAGACAATTGTTAAGGTGACAAGGAGCCCAATCCTGGCTACACGTGGCAGCCGATCCAACGGGATTTCCTTTTGGTTTGATTGTTACAAATCCGATTGAGAAACGACTGATTGATCTACTTAGTGATTGTGATTGTTTGGTTGATTGATAAGGTTGAGGGGGGGGCATGGGGGGTGTTGAGGGGAGGCAGGGGCACAGGGCAAGCGACAGAAGGCACAGAGTTTCTACGATGATTTTTTTTTCTCCAAAGATTCAGGCTAATAAAAAAAAAAAAAAACTGAACTCAGAATTAGGAAGAATTTGAAAGCAGCTGACAATTGTCAGATCAAATATTTCAACAACGGCTGTGATGTGAGCAAAGGGATTTGCTTAAAGTAGTATGTGTATCAGTATGTCTGTGTGTTTGTGTCTCTGTGTGACAATCTGAATGAGCAGCAAGGTTGGGGTCAATCTATTTGCCATTAAAAAACTGGAAAAGCTGAAAATCTGTGGTTGTTTTTATACGTCTGTGGAGATAAATTTGAGAATGATGACTTTTGTGGAGCACATTTCGCAACTGAGTCAACATGATAAGCATTGACCCCAACCCTGATCGAGCACATATTATACACACGAGTGCTTACATTACAGCTCTTATGACTAGCTAGTTGTGCTTTTCAAGGCTGAACACGTTATCCCATGTCACTCTCTGTACATATTCAGACCAGCTCTGGTGTGAAATTGTCTTTCCACTGAACGGTATTCAAGAAAACAAGGACTCATTGGATGCATCTCAGGCCACAAAGACCAGGAGCAAAGCAGACCCTGAAACCAGCTTGAATAATAATAATAATGCCCCAAAGTGTTTGTTCCCAAGTCTGGCAGATACCACAGACATGAGGCCAGAAATGGGTACTTCAACGCCCAGAAACAAAATGAATCTGAAATACAAAACAAAAAAAAGGACTAAAGGTAATGTTTGTTTCCTATTTGTTGAATGTATCGCATCTTGTCGTAAGCTAACGACAAACTACAGTCCGGTGGAGAAGCTTTACTGTACGACAGGCAAACAGCTACATTCAAATTCCCCCCCAAAACAAAGCAGGTGAGAGCTGAAGAGATTTTCCACTGGTATATGTGACAGGGATTTGGTTGAACAAGGCCGTCCAGCCATGTTTTGTGGACTGTATATTGGGCACAGATGGAGAAAGAATAAGCCAGCGGAACTTTGCTTGGTTAACTGTGTGTGTGTGAGTGTGTGTGTGTGTGTGTGTGTGTGTGTTGGTTTGAGTCTCAGTTCTTTAGGATGCCAGCACGCTCCTTCTCAGCAGGTCCTCGTTCCCAGAATGCAACTGCGGCAAGCGGAGTTTGCGTCCTCCAGAGCGCGTGTCCGAATCACTCTGCTCGCCATCAGAGAAGTACCCGTCAGTCTCGGCAGCATCCAGCAGGGACGTGTCCTTTGCTGTGAGCGGCAGGCTCACAGACTCCAGCCCTGCTATGCCTCCACCTCCACTAACGCCCCTACCTCTGGATTTACCCTGGCGGGACAGACGGAGCCGCGCACCCCCGCCTCGAGTGATTGCCCCTGTGTCAGGCAACGTGGCCCCGGGGCTGGAGGCTGGACGTGGAGATGAGCTTGCAGTGAAACCAGATGCAACGCCATTCCCTGCGTAGACGCTGTCCCAAGGGCCGCGATCCTCCGAGATGTGACAGGAATCCATTTTGGAGATGGGTGGCTGCGGTGGTGGGTCTCTGTGCATGTCAGAGCTCCTTGTCTGGTGGTGATGAAGGTGGTGGTGGTGCAAGGCCTTGGAGGAGCCCCTGGACCTTTCCCCTTTCCGGCCCCCATGGCTGGGCTTTTCCTCTGCCACGCTTGCCCAGAGGCTCTTTGCGGTGGAGGGGCTGCTGGCGGCGGAGTCGGCTGCAGCAGACAGGACTGTCTGGGGAAGGGTGGGGGTGGTGGGTTGCGGGTGTCCACGAGCTCGGGGCTTGTTGCCCCCTCGCGGTTTGCGGCCCAGCTGTGGTGTTTTCCAGGTGGACTGCATGGAGTTTTCCATCATAAGGTTTAGCAGACTTTCCTCGCCTTGCAGGAGCTGGGTGACAGGAGGAGAAGAAAAATGAGGTCAGAAAAGAAAAGATAGGAACTGGAGATGAAAGAGGAGATGGACGATGAGAGCGTAAGAATTCAAAGGAGAGCCGATGAGAGTAAATCAGAGGAGAAGAAAAAAAGAGCTGAAGCACTTCATGTTTTAAGGTGCACTACGTACAGAAAACGTTCAGGAGATATCTGGAATCTTGCTCATTGTTCAGTACAACAATGAATATGCTTCTTCTGGTTTGGAAACCTTAAATTCTAACCCGTAATATTTTGGAACAAAAACTCCCCGCCCACCACCACCTACCCACATTTCCAGCAGCTCAGCAGTGGAGGATGTGAGCAACTGATGTCACAAGACATTTTGTCGTCAAGCAAAAAATCTAATGACAAAAGTGGATGTACTCCAACATTTAACAGTGTTTAATCTCTTCAAGAGACATGTCTGTTGAATGTCTAATTTGCTGTACTGTTTAAAAAATGAGGTATTATTATTGTCAGTAACAGGCCACTGTATCATGGGACTTTTCATGTTTGTTTGATAAAAGTCCACCATGACTTCACGCCCTGTTATCTGTTTATTTTAGCAGATCTTTCTTTGTAAGGATATCAGGTTTTCATATCATTCTGTTTTATTGAAAAGTGACCGTTCCCTTTTTTTTGGCCCTGAACACATCCCCAAACAATGGAGTTATATCATGCATTCTGGTTGGAGCCCCCTGCCAATCAATACACAAACGGAGCACATTCCTGAGGAGAACAGCAGGTCAGCCACAGAGCAGCGCCGCTCTGACCATCATCGAACTGATTAACCCACAATGTGAAGTGAGGCAGGCTCACACAACTCCGAACTCCTCTCGCATAAATATTCAATCTAAAGGGCTTGATCCAGAGTTGAAATAAAAGGTGTATGAATGTTTTAAGTGTGGAGGCCTCTCTGTCGTGATATCTGACAAAAGTGGAGAACTTTATGTGGCTGAGTTTCAGCTTTGTAAAACTTAATAATTTACTGACTTCTTTTCACGCTTGAGAATTATAACAGGTTTTAAATCTGCAGTGCAATGGCTCAAGTCTAGTTAAGTCAATTTTAATTATATGGCTAATTGTCCTCAAAGGGCTCGTTATATGTGCTATTAGAGCAGCAAGGTGGAACAACTGTTATCAGAACACTGACATACAATTTTGACTTTGAGGGCATTATAAACTTGAATATTTAAAAGTTAAACACTACTAATGATCACTAAAATATATTACTTTTGTGGACAGTTCAAGAAAGCTCACTAGCATCTTCTTTTGTCCTCAGAGAGGGTCTCAGGATTCAAACTAATATTTAAGCCCTCACAGGAGTGCCATTTCTTTGGTGGAACTACTTAGTAGGGTCATTGTAGGGA